TGTGGGTGGCGGGATATTGCGAGTATGTACAAAAGGAATATCACCATGAGACTCTGGTGGTGTTTGGTCAGTGTGAATTTGTGGTTCTCCAATTGACTTTGCAGGAGACGAGAGTGGGCCAGCTAGAGGGGCAAGTAAACTATGCTCCTCCTTTGTTACATCAATAAAAGAATCAAGAATCTGCAAAAAAAACACTCATCATAAGAATTAAATAAGGAGGCAAATTACTAAATGTAAACCTGAACTTAAAATAGACACTAATATCATTCACCTGTACAGGACTAAGTTGCCTAAAGATTAAATGGATCTTCGGAGGGTTCCACCCTGTATTTATTGGCAGCCTCAACATACGAGATCTAGCATCAGGATGGGTTGGGGCTATCACAAGTGTGCGCTCATAAAACCACAGCTGCATGAACACGATGAATAAATCAGAAATTAATATAACTCAAATAAAATGGAAAAAGTTTTTCTGATTGAGGTTGAGCAATATACTAACCATTAGAAGAAAAACAAAGTCGTTCATGTATCCCAATGGCTGATCCATCCTTGTTTTCATCGCGCAAGCATTGACCTACTCAATTAGGTGGTCACATACTGTTGCGGCCCAATTAAATGAAGAAAAACTATCTACACTCTCAGCAAATAAATAGAGCCCAATGGGTACACTAAAATTGTTGGAAGGAAATAATAAATTAGACAACAAAACTCTAATAAGTTTATCAAGACTAGCAGATGAACTCTCCAATAGTTCACTCTTTGCCCGCCTTGCATCTACGTCATTGACGGTTCCCCCCCAATCTGAAAGCCAATCTATTCATATCCCAACAATTCAATATGTGCATAGTTAGGATGTGATCTTGAGGATAGGGGGGCAGATAAAAAAACTGATTGAGCTTCATTCTTTCCAGAGTTGACCACATCTCCCGATCAACAATTGGCCGAACCTTATCCAACACCTCTCTAATTGTTGATGGTCGGCATCTAAAATTCATTGATTGTTTATTCATCAACCTATAGAAATAAGATGCATGTTATTAACATTGGAATAACAAAAGAATTTTAGTCATCAATATACAGGAATAAGAGCATGTTATTAATACTGTTTATTCATCAATCAACAAATAACCTACGAATAACATACGCACAATACCCTAAAAACACTCTAGGAATAACCCAAGAATAACATGC